TGGTTCTTCACTAGGGATGTACGTCAGACTTACACATGGCATTCTGTAAAAATATAAATGTCTGGACCCTATTTCTACATCTACAGGTGAACTCAGTTCCCATTTTGTCTTTCATTGTGCTTTTTCAATGTTCTGGAACAAACTGACACTTCATGACAAAGTAAGTCTTTCCCAGAGTCTCCAAGATCCTCTAAAGAGGTCTGTGAGGTAAAAACAATTTTCATAATTATACTACTAGGTCTATTTACTTTATATTCTTGATATGAAAAATTACATCTGCCCATTTTCATAAATAGGTTTCTTCTTTGAAAATAGGCTTAATCAGATGTTTTGCCTAGTATTTTTTTGAATGGCTTTATTACCTTTATTTTGCATGTCATAGAAAAAATTTTATCAGTAGCATTATTCTTATTATTAACCCTCCTCAGACCCTTGATATTTAACAATTACCGGTAACAAATTTACCATGATCATTAAATCTGTCATCTTCAGACAGCTTTTGTCTTCTTTAGATGCTTGCCCAAAGGCTGTGCTGTAAGCTATATAGATCAGAGTCTATGTCCTAAAGGAGAGACTCCAAGCCTTGTGAAGAACTATTAATACTTCAAAGAACAGTCTTGGGTAGAAGGTTCTAAAGTTGACTGCTTTAACAACTTTTAGACCCTATCACTGGACTGAGTGAGATTTCCAGGACTAGTCCTTCTAGAAACAGACAGAATCATGCAAGCTGATCCCTAACATATACAATGAAGTAAGAATTACATAAGGACTGAATGAGCTGATGGAGAAAATCTCTCTGTGGTCATGTGTTGGCAATACTGTTAATATTATTTTAATATTCTATTTTCTGGATATATGAAGAAGCTTTTTGTCCTCTTAAGCTAGCTGTCATCTACACATTTTAGTAGACTGCTTTTGTAAACTAAAATCAAACATTCTAAAATCGTATCTGACCTTGCATCTCACTGACACCCCATCGCAACCCAAATTCAGATTTCTTAACTAAGTCTCCTTACTTTTCATGGTAGTTATCTGCAACAGTTAAATAAGAATCTGTCTGCCTCCTTTAACCAAGATATAAGTGGACAAGTTACCTGTGCAACTGACATCTCACCTGGATTTCTTATTTGAAAACGGCATAGTAGGTACAACCAGATACTTTTTTTAAGGAATAAAGGTTGGTTTTCCCTATGGAATCAGTGCCTACGAAGACCTCCCATATAAGCTGGCCTGGTGCTTGTCTTACACGGCCCAGTCTTGGAGATTTTAAGGAAAGCCATACACTTCCTGACAGGACATGAACCACAGGAAATATGGGGAACCTTTAGTAGAGTGAGATTCACTCCAATGTATACCTACTGCAGGTGAAACCTAGTAGAGAGAGTTTCTGAGACTTAGTTTCCTATCCCTTAGATAGCAAATAATCAAGGATTTTTAAAGTTCAATCTGACATTCCTTATGAAAACTTCCAGACAAAAGTTAATTTTGTGACTTTAGTAAAAGTCAATACTGTATGGCTCTAGATTTGCAAAACAAACTGAAGGAGGCCTATTTATTGTTAATGAACAATCTTGCTGCACCCATGCCAATAAGCAAGCCAAACATAAGACCAAACTTCTTGTCATCAAGACTCTCTGAGATTATTATGGTCATGAGGTAGATATAGGCTGTCAGAAAACATTATGGAAGAATTTGAAGTAAGCAAAAAAGATCACTGTCTAGCACACTCTTTGTGCCTTCTATAGTCTTTTTCATAACTGTTGCAATTGACAGCAATGCCAATGATTCTGATAATGATTCTCAGTAAAAATGCAAATAAAGTTTTCCCCTGAAATGTAATTGATTATTGCATTTGAATAATGACCAGTTTTACATCCATCTCTAAGTTAATTTTAGCATTCCTAATTGCCTAAACCAGGGGTGTCCAATCTTTTGGCTTCCCTGGGCCACATTAGGGGAATTGTCTTGGGTCATACATAAAATATGCTAACACTACTGATAGCTGATGAGCTAAAAAAACAACAAAAAGAACAAACAAACAAACAAACAAACTCATCATGTTTTACGAAAGGTTATGAATTTGCATTGAACCACATTCAAAGCTATCCTGGGCTGCATATGGCCGGTGGGCTGTGGGTTGGACAAGCTTGGCCTAAACATACATGTATTTTTTGAATTCTCCTTTTGACTAGTTGTAACATCTTACTGGTTCCTTTGGTAACTAAAGAGCTCAATAAATTCTTTGATCCATGTTGACTTAAAATTATGAAAAAGGCAGTTTGGCTATACTACTCTAAAATAAACCTATATATTTAAAGGAAAAAGGGAAAAAATAGCATAATTAAGTGAAAGAGTAGAAAAAGAGATAAATTATATGAACAAAAATTTGTATAATTTGAGGATATACTGGATGGATATTACATGCAAAGTTAAAAAGATATCAACTATGAACACTAAACCAAAAAAATATTTCACAGCTTAAATAATACAGAAGTATATCAATAGTGCTCATATGTAATACATTGACCTTTTCTCAAGGGCAAACCAGTACTTCTGAAAAACTCTCCTTTTGGATTATTTGCAAAATAAACTTTATCCCACAAACTCATATATTAAAAAATCTTGGCCGGGTGCAGTGGCTCATGCCTGTAATCCCAGCACTCTGGAAGGCCGAGGTGGGCAGATCACGAGGTCAGGAGATCAAGGGACCCATCTGGATTAAACAGTGAAACCCTCTATCTCTACTAAAAATACAAAAAATTAGCCGGGCGGTGGGTGTGGGTGCCTCTCTAGTCCCAGCTACTCGGGAGGCTGAGGCAGGAGAATCGCTTGAACCTGGGAGGCGGAGGTTGCAGTGACCTGAAATCATGCTACTGCACTCCAGCCTGGGCGACAGAGTGAGACTCCATCTCAGGAAAAAAAAAAAAAAATCTTAAGGTGCCTATATTTAGAAATACATTCTAACTTCAGCAAACCATATAGTGCTCATCTCTTCTGCATTAGCAGCATCGACTTATGGTGGGCTAGTTACTGACCTCTCTATATTTGTTTCTTCATCCCTAAAATGGGATATGACAAAATCTACTTCATAAGGTTGTTTTGGAATTAAATGAGCTAATACATGTACAATAATTAAGAATGGTATGGGCCCATAGCTATTATTATTATTTATTATATTTTTTTTTTTTGAGACAGAGTCTTGCTCTGTAGCCAGGGCGGAGTGCAGTGGCCGGATCTCAGCTCACTCAGAGCTCCGCCTCCCCGGGTTTACGCCATTCTCCTGCCTCAGCCTCCCGAGTAGCTGGGACCACAGGCCCCGCACCTCGCCTGGCTATTTTTTGTATTTTTAGTAGAGACGGGTTTCACCGTGTTAGCCAGGATGGTCTCGATCTCCTGACCTCGTGATCCGCCCGTCTCGGCCTCCCAAAGTGCTGGGATTACAGGCTTGAGCCACCGCGCCCGGCCAGCTATTATTATTTTATATGCTATCAGGTATATTATGAAACACTTGATGAAGGCCAACCAATAAAAATTTCTCAAACTAGATGGAGTATTTGGTTTTTAAAAGTTTTTATAAAACTCAGCACAAACTAAAGACTAGAAGCCTGTAAGTGCTTCTAAAGTCACCTTTCCATTTTTTCTTCTTGCTCATTATTGGAAATTAAAAGATGAGCCACCTTCACACTCCTCTGTCTCAACACTGACATTCAAGCTGAAACGCAAGTACTAAAATGGAGGGTGTGGATGGGGAAAGTATAACATATAAGTAGATCTAGCCTGTGAGGTAATCAGAAGGTATTAAAATGAACATATTTAAAATTTTTGTTTCCAGTCTCAAAATAAGGCTATCTTAAACAACCAAACTAAAAAAACAAGACTTCAAAAATAAAAATTGGGCCAGGAATGGCAGCTTACGCCTGTAATTCCAGCACTTTGGAAGGCCAGTGTGAGTGGATCACTTGAGCCCAGGAGTTCAAAATCAGCCTGGGCAACATGGTAAAAACCCCATGTCTACAAAAACTAAAAAACTGGCTGGGCATGGTGGTGCATGCCTGTAGTCTCAGCTACTCAGGAGACTGACGTGGGAGAACTGCTTAAGCCTGGGAGCTTGAGGCTGCAATGAGCCGTGGTCATGCTACTGCACTCCAGCCCTGGCAATAAAGCAAGGCTCCGCCTCAAAAAAATAAAAATAATAAAAAGTAAAATTGGGGTGAGTACAGTGGCTCATGGCTGTAACCTCAGCACTTTGGGAAGACAAGGTAGGAGGATCGAGGCCAACAGTTCAAGACCAGCCTGGTCAACAGTGAGACCTCTATCTCTACAAAAAAATAATAAAGAATTAGCCAGGCATGGTGGTGCATGCCTATAGTCCTAGCTACTTGGGAAGCTGAGGTGGGAGGATTGCTTGAGGCCAGGAGTTTGAGGCTGCCGTGAACTATGACTACACAATTATTTCAGGCCAGGCAACAAAGTGAGACCATGTCTCTAAAAAAATAATAAAATAAAAATAAAAATTGATTGGGGGAGTAGAGGAGAAAAAAAATTTCCCACAGATATTGCGAAGAAAGACAACTAGATCTTAAGCCCCTTTTAGCTAAAAAGTTATTCAAATCTATGAATTTGGGAAGCCTTAGGAAGCAAGAACTAGGAACCAGAAACAGAAAAACAATCTGCTTTTGATGGAGTAATAGTGTGATGTAAACATGTGTCACTACTAAGCCTTTCTAGTTTCCTAAAACAAAAAATAGATATACTTCTGGTGGAATAGTTAAAACGCAGTCTCAAATCCTTCCTATTTTCAAACTTAATGGTGGAGAAAGGCCTGTATTTTTATATAATTTACCCAGAAAACTGAATCATAAAATTTTTTATAGAAGAGCTTTAGAGGGAGAGGGAATTCAAACAAACTTATTAAAAGTCAGACCAAACAATTCTTTAGTGATTTTTTAAAATTACTCATTAAAAAAAACCATGACAAAAAATGTATCAACATAAGATACCTATGTTTCGTAGAATTTCAACAAGTTTTTCTCTTTTTGAGAACTGGCCAACTTGGAGAACGGTCTGCTGAACATCTCTACATGCTCCACCCACTTGTCCAACAGCAACAAACAGATAATTCGACTTTAAAAACTCTGCAGCCAACCTTGAAAAACAAAAGATTATTCTTTAACTTATCCTCTTCTCCATTAGTATCCATAATATCCACTGAATTCCTGTAGGTGTTATCTCAATATTAATCAGACAGCAGATTACGACAGCTATAAGATGGTTGGTTACTTGTATCACCCAAGTACTATTTTGAAAGATCAGTATAAAATATTAGGATTTTGCAAAATATGTAACTACTAGAGAAATAGTTTGTCACAGTATGTATATGGTAATTACAAGTGGATTTGCTATCCACGCAAAACTATATAAAATGTGTATAACACTTAAAAAAAAGCATGAACTAAAACAAATAAACTGCAATAAGCAGGAATTATTTTTTAGTAAAAACTGAAATGTAAGCCTAAGGCACAAATTCTGTTCTCCACTCATTGTTTTTATGTATGCTATTATTAGTTGTTTTCTGAAAATATTAACTATTAAATTACTCTACTTCAAATGAATGATTTCAAGCAAACCAGATCTTAGGTCAGTGCTCTCTATGTCATGACACACATAGAAAGCAGTATTTGCAAGGCAAAATTGGGCAAAACAAGTGAGACAGGATGAAAGGCCCAGGGACATAGTGGAATCAGGATAGGTGTGTCTGCCCCAAAGGTTAAGGGTATCAATATCTTGACACATAGTTAACTCACTATCAGCATGCAACTGAGAAGTCTTGCTTTAGATCACACAGAAACATGGGGGAGTGGACAAAGTTGCTAATGAGAAAGATGAGTTTTTAGGGATAAATGGGGAGGTTCAAATCTCTCTTCAATGCTTCTCCCTCCTATGTAGCAGTCCCTTATTTACCAGCTGGCTCCTTCATGAAAATAGCTCAAATTCAGCATATCCAGAATCTTAATAAATCACTGCTTCTTCTTTCTCCTTACTTCATCTCTTATCATAAAAGCAAAGTTTTTTTTTTTGCCTTCTTTTAGAGTCACTCTCTCACCCAGGCACAAAAGTTAAAATCATCTGAAATTCTCCATCATTCTTTTCATTCACTAAAACTACAGAGTGTTTTGTGTCATGTGTACAAGGTACTGGGAGTAGAAAGATGAACATTAGCCTATGAGGTCATCACATCAAGTAGGAAAGATGTATTTAAAAACTTACAATTTTAGTGTTAGAATAATGTTTACTGAACACTATGTTCCAAGAAATGTACAAAGTGACTTAAATAGTTTCTTTCACAAGATACACTGGCAGGAAATGGATGAAATGATTTAGAAAAAGCCTCAAGTTTGAGGCGGGGCACAGTGGCTCATGCCTATAATCCTAGCACTTTGGAAGGCCAAGGCGTGTGGATCACCTGAGTCCAGGAGTTTGAGACCATTCTGGCCAACATGGTGAAACCCCAAATCTACAAAAAATAAAAAATTAGCCAGGTACGTATGCGCACACCTGTAGTCCCAGCTACCCAGAAGGCTGAGGTGGGCCTAGGATGGCTTGAGTCAGGGAGGTCGAGGTGGCAGTGAACCATGATTGTGCCTCTGAACTCCAGCCTGGTCAACAAGAGTGAGACCGTATCTCGAAAAAAAAAAAAAGTCTTCAGGTTTGAAGCTTCATCTAGGGAAGCAGCAGGCAAGCATGTGGAACACTAACGATTGGGGAAAGGCATTCTATGCAGAAGGAAAGAAGAAACAAGCACAAATAATGAGAAAAGTAAAATTCAGCTCTCTCAGCCAAGAGGAAATAGCTCTAGTAGACTAGAAACACACGACTCCAGGTAAGAAAGTAGCAGGTAAGCCTGAGATTGTCATGTGTTAAAGAGTTTAAAAATCAGTCTATGAAGATGGAAAGATATGGGAAGGTTTATTTTAAATAAATGTCTAAAAGAATCAGACTTTATTTTGGCATTGCCACTAATGCAGAAGTGACACTAGAAGCAGGAAGACAGGTTAAAAAGCCACTTTCAGTGAGCAGGGCAAAACTGATAAGGACCTAAATTAAGGTGGGAAATAGAGAAGAAGCTAACAGATATGAAATATTTTAGAGATTACTGCTGTAATGGTTAATACTTGGTGTCAACTTGACTGGATTGAGGGATGCCTAGATGGTCAGTGAAAAACTGTTTCTGGATGTGTCTCTGAGGGTGCTACCAGAGGAGACTGACATTTCAGTTGGTAGACTGGGAGAAGAAAGCTCCCTCTAAATGTGGGTGGACACCACCCAGTTGGCTACCGGTGCAGTTACGACGACGTAGGCAGAAGAAGGTGGGGTAACTTTGCTTGCTGAGTCTTCTGGCTCTCTTTCTTCTTCCCATGCTGGATGCTTGCTTCTGCTCCTCCTGCCCTTGGACATCATACTCCAGGTTCTTCAGACTTTGAACTCTGGGACTTGCACCAGCGGCTTCTTGGGGGATCTATCAGCTTCCTTGGTTTTGAGGCCTTCAGACTTGGACTAAGCCACTGCTGGTTTCTCTCTTCTGCAGCTTGCAGATAGCCTATCATGGGACTTTACCTTGTGATTGTGTGAGCCAATTTTCCCTAATAAACTTCCTTTTATATCTATATATATATATTATTGGTTCTGTCCTTCTGGAGAACCCTAATATCACTGCCACGTTGTACTGAGACAGGGTCTTACTCTGTTGCCCAGGCCAGAGTATAGTGGCACAACCATGGCTCACTGCAGCCTCAACTCCCCGGGCTCAAGACATCCTCCCACTTTAGCCTCCTGAGTAGCTGAACCTACAGGTGCATGTCACCACACCCAGCTAATTAAAAAAATTTTTTTTTACATAGACAGGGTCTCACTATGTTGCCCAGGCTGGGCCTGAACTTCTAGGCTCCAATGCTCCTCCCACCTTAGCCTCCCCAAAGTGCTGGGATTATAGGAATGAGCTACCGCGCCTGGCCCAAGTTGAGTATTTTTAAAAGCGGAGTTAAAAGACTGTGAGAGAAGAATCACCATGATTCAAAAATTTCTGGCTTCAAAAGATCACGATGCCAATAACCAGAATAAAGAAAACTGGAAAAAGGGAGCTGAAGAAAAATTGCATTCTATTTTGGACATGAACGTGAGTTACTAGTTATTCATCTGAGAGAAAAAACACCCCAAGAAGTTAAATTTGAAAGTCTGGGCCAGGTGTGGTGGCTCACACTTACAATCTCAGCACTTTGGGAGGCTGAGGCGGGCGGATCACCTGAGGTCAGGAGTTCAAGACCAGCCTGACCAACACGGAGAAACCCCATCTCTACTAAAAATAAAAAATTAGCCAGATGTGGTGGTACATGCCTATAATCCCAGCCACTGGGGAGGCTGAGGCAGAATCACTTGAACCCTGGAGGCGGTGGTTGTAGTGAGCTGAGATTGTGCCATTGTACTCTAGCCTAGACAACAAGAGCGAAACTCTCTCTCCAAAAAAAAAAAAAAAAAAAAAGTCTGGGGCTACAGAGAGAGATTAGGAATACAGGGAAGAAATCTGGGAGAGTTACAGGTATAACTAGAAGCCATGGCAGAGTTACAGGTATAACTAGAAGCCAAGGGAACGGATATACCATAACTCAGGGAATATGCAGAATGAGAAAAGGACTTTGCACAGAATGATGGGCAACTGGTAACATTTAAGAGTAGACGATGAAGCAATTGAGGAAGAGTCAGGAAGCAAAGAATGTAAACAACCCAAGGTCAGATAGGAGCTTATTTTGTTTAACATATATCCCCAAAGTTTATAATCAAATATGATTCACAAAAGATCCTCAACAAATATTACTGACAGTAGTACACGTTTGCCATTTTGGGTGGTCAACATACAAATACTTTCCCATTTCAGGGTAAATCTAAAAAGAGTCAGGCTGCTAATTAGATAGTTACCAAAGCAAATGGTGGGAATGCAAATATCCCATCTCCAATTGAAAATATTATCCAGGGCAGGGTGCGGTGGCTCATGCCTGTTAATCCCAGCACTTTGGAAGGCCGAGACGGGCAGATCACCTGAGGTCAGGATTCCGAGACCAGCCTGGCCAACATGGTGAAACCCCATCTCTACTAAAAACACACACACACACACAAAAAAATTAACCAGGCATGGTGGCAGGCGCCTGTAATCCCAGCTACTCGGATGGCTGAGGCAGGAGAATCGCTTGAACCCAGGAGATGGAGGTTTCAGTGAGCCGAGACTGCACCATTTCACTCCAGCCTGGGCAACTGAGCAAGACTTCGTCTCAAATGAAAAAAAAAAAAA